GACAAATCGATGAATGGTAACAATGAAAGTGGATTGACTGCTCTGTCAATAATCTGTTTTTGTCCCATTATCTCATTCAAAACATCAATATCAACAATTTTATTTCTTCGATAGTCATATACAACACTTTCTCTTATTCAATTTATTTGATATTTGAAGGACATTTGTTTGTTTCACGTTATTTAATTTTTTTATATTTATAGGCATTATTACTTCCTTCGTTTTACAAAGAGTATTTTTAAACTGTTTATTTTTTTTTTACGAAAGTGTGTTTTATATATTTAGTGCAAAAGATTCTAGGTTTAACCTTTTTATTATAGTGCATTGTTAGATAGAAATAAATTTGTTCAGTGTATTAATAAAAAATAGATTTTGATCCGAGCCAAATGCGAGACTAAATAATTAAATAACTTGGCTAATCATTTTAACATAGATAACTTTTAAATATCTAAATGTGTATGACGAAACATATGATTTTTAATATCTATAAACGTAAAAGTGAGATATATTGTTCATAAATATAATATTTTTAATTAAGCATATCTTAATGTCATTACTTTTAATATTTATACGTGTAAATATGATTTAAACATATGCAAATATTATCTATTTTAATATATTTTAATTGTAAAATTGATATTCATTATTTGTATAAATTATAGAGTATACAATAAATCGGATAAATTTGCCAGACATAAAAACATAATAAAATGTAGAAATATTTTTAAAGTGTAATTAAATACGTATAATAGACTAGATTATAATAAAAACATTTGTATTATACTAATTTAAATACATATATACACATTAGATAATATTGTTTCGAATTTAACAATAAAAAGATTGTTAATCTATCAGAACAAATAAAAATAGATGATATAGTAAATCTAAAATATTACATTAGTTGAGCCTAAATATGTAAAATATGTATTAATAGGTTTATGTTATAAAATTGATGATAATATATAGAGACTTTCACCATGGCATATAGTTTTAATTGAAATGTTCTGATTAATTAAATTAAATGGTGTGTTCTTTAAAACACTCATTGAACGTCACCTAAATGTTGGCGATCCCAACGACGTACCTTGGCAAAACCGGTTAGAGGTCGGTTGTAGTACTTGATGTTATTATCTTTGATGTCCATCCTTTTCAACGTCCTCTTGTATATCATATCCACCAAACTTCATGTCTCTATGAGTATGCAGCCTACCTCGCAATAGGCGATTATCAGTTCGACTACGATTGGGTCGTTGTGAGGCATGTTGAGTCCCTCAATATCAAATTCATCAAAGGCTACAACATGATATTGGTTTGCTTGCAGGCACCATTTTTGGGTCGTCATCAATTTTATTTTGTATTCTTGGATCGATCTGATCAAGTGGTTACAAGTTTCGCCACCAATAATCATATTGGTCCTTTTTTTAGTACAACCCGTTTTTTTTATGTAGATCATCGCAGTTTCTTTTTAGTGGATTAACATAAACATTGTTCTGCCGAGGCCTATCTTCATGATGTTTATCATCCGCGCAGACCTTGTCATTTCCCTGCGCCGATCTATACTCAGGTTGGTTTCCTCCAAAGTCTTTCTTGAGTTCTACATCGTTGATTTCGTCCTTTTGGTGCATCATCAAGAGGATCTCTTGAAGGTGTCGGCATTGTGAGGTCGAATAACCAGACCATTTATGGAAATCACACCATGGCTGTGACTCCTTTGGTTCATTGGTTTGATTGTATTTGTTCCACAACTTATATTGTTGAACTCCTTAGCGTAGTTTTTAACATAGTTGTTCGAAGATTTTTTTGCCTCGGTCATCCTTTCGATGTTCTTTTTCGCAATAATTGTCATTTTTGTTTAGAGCTCCTTTTCGTGACACAACATATTTTTGGCCATCTAATCACGGTCTACTTCGACCTCCATGCTGCAAGACCCTTAATTCATCGAGTCTTCTATAATATGTAGTCTACTGAGCAGTAGATCATA